GCTTAATGGTTATCTATATTTAGAGAGAGGCTTTGGGAAATGATAGGTAGTAAGTAGACTGTTTAGATTTGAGCTAACAAAATGAACTAAGTTTGTTGTTATAGTTGTTAAATTCTGGCAATCTGCTAATATGTTTTTTTTCATTAAGTTTATTGGTACATTTTAGGAATACAATATAGTTTCATTCATCACTTGGAAGTTGTTGCTAATATCTATTGAATCCTACATTTCAAGTTTGTAAACTCTGTGGTATGCAAATTTTAGTTCAATAAAGTTGCTTTATTAAAAAGGAGATCAAAGAAGAAATTACAAAGTAAGTGACAATATATTAAAAGGTGAATTATAATGAATGCACAACATAACAAAGTTTCTAGTAGGCATCAACAGCAATGCAACAGGGGAAATATAAAGTACAAATCATATACAAAAGAAAAATAAACTTCTCAAATCAACACCCCCACTTTGCAATTTAGGAAACTAAATAAGAAAAACAAACTGAAGTCATTGCTGGTAAGGAAAAAATATAAAGCACAGGAAACAGAAAAATAAAACAAACAATGGAAAATAATGAAATACAAAGTTCATTCTTTCTAAACAAACAAAATTGACAAATATTTATATAACTGGAGTAAGAAAAAAGAAGAGACTCAACTTGCTAGAATTGCAAGTGAGTTAAACTTTTTCAATGCTATTGGCTCTTCAGAAATAAAAACGAATATAAAATGGTACTATAAAAACTGTGAGAAAAATTGCTAAAGCTTAATAAAGAGAAGAATTTCTTAGAAATAGAAAATAAATAGAAAATATACTAAGAATAAATTGGGTAGATAGTAGGAAGAGACATGTAAATATTATGGAGAATTAGTCTGTGATAAAAAAATCTCTTGATGAGAGTGATTTCACAACAGAATTCTACTAAGCATTTAAAGAATACATATTCTTTCAGGTTAAAAAAAAACCTGAAGATTTCACAAGCAAACAAATAACTTTTTTAGGAGTTGTTTGAAAAACTTAGCCACGTAGTAGTACACAAAGGCAACACAGATATATAATGAACAACTTTACAGGACAATTATTAAAACATTAAAAAATTCTATGAGAAAAACAATCTGAAACACATATCTTAATAATTTAATCAAGGAGGTGAAAGATTTGTTCAGTAAATACTATAAACAATTCAGGAATAGTAGATGCCATATGTAAATGAAAATACATCTCATGATAATGTATTAGAAGACTTAATATTAAAATGTCGATACCACTCAAGGGTTTCTACAACTTCAAAACAATTTTGGTCAAAATCTTAGTGACGTTTTTCTAAATAGGTTAGAAATGTATGCAGTTGCTCAGACTCTCATGTGACTGACTGCTTAATGTATACACTAGCATCAAGTCAATTTATAAAGTGAAAATAAAATCATTTTATATTGAGTTTCAAGTTGCAGGAAGAATTAAAGTATGCTTGGAATTTTTACCTATTGGATTCTAATGTAAAAACTTTAAATTATACTGGATAGTAAAATTTAGCATTAATGATTGATTTGCTAAATTGGTGTGCTCATCTAAATTTAAAAATAAAGACTTTCTTGGAGAGCAGAAATGAGGTACTCTAAGCAAATGCTCACAAATAATAGCAAACTGATGAGGTTCACACAGCAGCAAGTAAAGCTATAAATGATAATAATGATCAAGAAGAGAAATTAAAATTGGCTGCCTGAGACTAATAAAATGTGACAAATCTTAGGAATTTTGCAGCACATAAAAATAAAGTCAAATAAGGATGCCTGATGAAAATGTTTATTTCCTTTCCTCTTCATACATAGACCTATTTCTAAAGCTTACATAATTTATCATGTATGAGAGGTAAAATATCAGGTTTTGTCTATGCTATATTAAAAAAATATTGAACCCTGTAATGCTAAAAATAGAGAATAAAATATAAAAAGGAATGATTTATGTAGTGGAAAACAATTGAACCAATTAACAAAAATAAGAAATTCTATTGTTTTAAATAATATGCAAACTAGATGCATGTGTTTGTTCCTTAAAATTAACAAGACATTTGAATACATTTTATCTTATGGTTATTGTGATTTTATTTTGAGTGAAAAAAAACTAAGATTTTTATAATTGATTTTTATGTATCATTTTACTAAAAGGAAATTATGTGAAATAATTGCATACAATGAAAATAATTTTAACAAACATAATTTCTTCTTAGGAAAATTATATCTTATTTCAATTTATTTCTTAGTAGAATTGACTGTGGAAGAGGAATTTATCACATCAGACTATGATGCTTTTTCATAGCACAGATGGTTATTCTTTTTTTTTATTCATAATCATTGGTCAAAGGCATTACCTTCTGAAAAGTTCAAAATTACCTCAGGTATAAATGAGTGAATATGGAGAACCACCATGGAGTTTTAAAAATATTTGTGCTTAATTAAAATATACATAATACCTAACAAGAATTCTCCAGAACAATATGTGTTAAAATTATAAATGAATATATGCATAGAATTTTAGTCTTTATTTTTTACATTTTTAACCCTAAAGTTTTTTTTTTCATTAAGTTTATTGGTCCATTTTAGGCATACAATACAGTTGCACTCATCATTAGGATCTTTTATCTTTACATGATATATCTTTGTTCTTATTTTCCCCCATCCCATGATCTTCCTTCACTCCCTCCACCCTTCCCTATTTACAAAGACTTTGTTTCCATGTTTTTCCATTTCTCTTTTTTTCTTTTCCCTTCTTTCCTTTCCCCTGCTTCTCCCACTTCCTCTAATACCTTTAGACATTTTCTTCCTATTTCACACTATAAATTATCATTTTGATCCTTGTTTGCACTTTTAGTTTTTGGCACCAGAGAAAATATTCAGTATTCACACATATGTGTCCTATTAATTTCAACAGAGTATGTCCTCAATGGGCATCCACTTATCTATAAATGTCACTGATTTCTTGTTCTTTGTGGCTGAGTAGTACTCCATTTTATATATTTTTAAAAACTCACATCTATTTCATCCAGTCTCCAGCTGATGGGCATTTTGGTTGTTCCACATTTTAGCTATTAAAACCTGTGCCACTATAAACATGGGTGAGCATATATCACTTTTAATTATTTTGGGAAGATATCCAGCAGGGGAATTTCTGGATCAAATGTGACTTCCAAGCCTAGTTGTTTGTTTTATCTCCATATTGATTTCCACAGGGGCTGCAACAGTCTACACTCCCCCAAAACAATGAAGAAAAATTCCTTTCTCCCCATAACACTACCAACAGTGGTTATTGATTGATTTCTTCATAACAGCCAGTCTTTCTGGGGTGAGGTGGAATATCAGGGTTGTTTGCACCTGCATCTCTTGAGTGACCAGTGATGTTGAACATTTTTTCATATGTTTATTTGCTCGTTTTACTTCTTTGAGAAATTTCTGTTCATTCCAGATGCCATTTTGAATTGGGTCTTTATATTTGAGGGGTCTGATTATTTTTTTTTAATTCTTTATATATTTGAGATAGTAGACCTTTATTGGAGGAGCAACTGGTAAAAATTGTAGGTTGTCTCTTAGCTCTGTTGGTGGTTTCTCTTGTAGTGCAGAAACTTTTTGATAAGATGAGATCACAGTTGTTGATTTTTTTGTGCTAGTTCCCATGCCACTGATGATTTGTACTACCGAACTTATTTTCAGCAAGTTTAGTGTTTCTGTTTTAATATTTACATCTGTGATCCACTTCAATTTTAGCTTTTTACATGGTGAAAGATAGGGGCCTAGTTTTAATCTTTTGAACCCTAAACTTTTTAATCTTCATGAAAGAAAAGAACCCTTCTAATATTTGGAAGATTTGCCAGAAAAAAACAAAGAAACATAAAATTCTTTGTATCTAGAAATTAGGGGACATGACATTTCTCAGAGTGCCATAAATCAACATCAAGTTCTCACTGTCAAAAAATGTTTAAGATGCAGAAGTGGGTACTTAGGTAGAAGTAAGCCCTGAGTTTTTATTTCTATAACCTTTATTTGTTCTCACTGAGCAGGACTATGGAAGACAGGGAAGCTGGCAGATGTCAACAGCTCAATGGAGGAATCAAAGAAGGAGCAGAGTTTGTAGATTATTTCTCTTTTCTGGAAGCATTAAAGTAATCAGTAAAGGTCAGCACAGCCCAAGAGGTTTATGAGATTGATCAAAGAGGCAGAGTACACTGGTGCTCAGAGGTTACCACCCAAAAAATAGTCCTATAAAGTCTTTCCTTAGAATCAGCAAGCACAGAAGATGCAGTTACTTCATTGTACCTCGATTTATAAAAACCCTCAGAAGGAAACAAGAAACAAAAGGGATGACTGTCATGTAAAGTAGATTAAATTTCAATAGACAGAATTTAAATCTTGAAATAACAAAGTGGATAAAAGAGACTGTGTAATTAACTGGAAGACGTTTTCCTCAATTACAAGGGAAAGGTTAAACCTCACCCATCCTTCACTAATATGAATTGAATTTGAGTTTACTGATCTAGTAAAGACCAACGAAAATCAACAAAAAAATTACACATTTACAATACCAAATAATAGGATAAATGCTTTGCAACATATACTATGGGAGTTAATATCGAGTACATATCATGTGCTATGCATTACCTAAGATATTGTAAAAACTTACATGCATTATGCATTTAATTCTTAACATTTCACAAGAGATAAGCCAGTATCACTATTTTTTTCTATGAACCTACTAAAGCATAATGAATGTTTCCTTATTATTCAGGTATTAAACAGTACATTGGGGATTTAAATCAAGTGTCCTGAATGAAGAAATGCACCACTTAAATTTTACAGGAAGAAGTAAGGGCTAGGGATGAAACTTTGTGGTACAGTACATATTTAAGGTGGATAAGGCTCTAATATTCTTTAGCTTTACTTTTCATTAATTTATTATACACATATACGTTTGTATATAGATAAAATAAAATCTCATTCATCATAGGTGATTTGTACCTTGATTCTTCTTTTTTCCCCAGTCCTCTCTCCTCCTTTCAACATCTTGAAATATTGCATTGGTGTGAGAAACTGGAGGCGTGAATAAGGTCCAAAGTGTACACAAGATATTGGGAAATCAGAAGACAATATTTAACTGGGAAGAAGAACGAGGGAGGGAGCAGGGGAAAGAAAGCAAGGGAAAAGAAAATGGAAAAAGGAAAAAAAAGAGAAAAGAAGGGAAAAAATGGAAATGAAGCTTTTGTAGATAAGGAAGGGAAGAGTAAGAAGGCCCTAATGTTGATGCCCAATGCAGGAAACATTAGAGACTGAGGGAGAGACAGAGACACGAGGCAGACAGAAAGAAAGAAGATTATAGTAAAAGTGGAGGATTGTTACTATTCACATGCTCCTAAAGAACAACCATCTCCCCAAATTGTTTAGTACATTTTTGATTAAAAGGAGTTTATACTATTTGTAACTCAGTTCCAAAACATAAATATTCACCAAAGACAATGTAAGAATTTCATCCAGTATAATAATGATAAAATATGCAGCAGTAAGTTAAATTTAAATGTCAGGTAAACAATCACTATTTGCACATATGTATGTTTATGATATTGTATATGTCATTAATACTAAAATTGTAAATGACTGACAATAACTTGGTCATAGGAATACAAAAGTAACAGGTCTCTTGTCATTCAAATCCAATATCAACAGTTAGGCATTCTTGTAGTATTTTAATGTCTCTTTAGAAGTAATTCAAAAGTGAATCAAGATGAAAATTAAAAAGGTCCCTGGTGAATCATAAATTTACAAAGAACAGCTATTATTGCTGTGAGAAAGACACACAGTACCTGAAAGATGCTTGACTACCAGCTAACAGTTAGATTACAGTTGATAAGAGCCCACCACATGCTCATAGGTAAGCAATGATGTTTACCTATTAAATAATATTTATCCATTAACCAAAAGGGGTTTCTAGATCACCCAACATTAAAGTTATATTTTAACTACAATGAAGCAAAAATAGAACAAGAAAATTCCTTAATTTTTTTGACCACCAGAGACAAAAAAAAAAAACAAAAACAAAACAGTGTTTAAAACACAAAGATAATCAAACACCTTTCCTTCTTTCTAGTTTGGCGGAGGGCTGTTTCTTTCTTTTTTTTTTTTTTGAGACAGGGTCTCACTATGTAGTTGAGACTGACCTGGAGCTCACTATGTAGCCCAGGTTGGTCTCGAACTCACAGCAATCGTCCTGCCTCAGGCTTCTAAATGCTGGGATTACAGGCATGAGCCACCACGCCCAGATTTTTTTTTAAATGCTTTTTCTTTACTGATGGCATATTTGACCTTATTTCACTTTTTTAATATTAACATTCATGAAGATTCTGAACCATAAATTAAATCTACCAATGGCTGCCACACTGGAGAAATATCACCCCAAAACACTTATTTTGGGGCAAAATCTCTCTTCTTTGAATCTTTATTGAAAAATCACCTTTTACTGAGATGCACTACCACACACAACCATAGTGATCTCACCAGATAAACTAGAAATAAAATCGTACAGCACAAGTGTGCTACTGATGTCTTAGACACATGAGCATCGACATCTGGTACAGTCTATCCTTCTTTCTTCTCTAATCTACTGAAAAAGATGCAGTTAAATCCCATGTTTTTTTTTTTGAATTTGTATTTTTCCTTTGTAATCTGCACAAATATTTATTGGCCATTTTGATATTTTTGCATGTATTATTCTTTCAAACATTTTGTCAATTTTTATATTTGAGTGACAGTATTTTTTATGGTTTTGAACAAGAAGCTTTTTGTATACTTTATGTTGTGTCCTTATATATAGAGGTGTTTGCAAAAATTATCTCCTATATTTTATGTTAACTTCATGAAATTGTTCTATAATAAGGGATTTGAAATAAGCTTTAAACTTTCACACAGATCTAAATTTGTCTACAATCTGTTTGCATTTCATAGTAGAAACTACTCAATGTTTATTTTACTTCAGGATCATTATAACCGTATTAGAGTGTTTTCTCTCAATGCATCATAAACCAGACATAGAAAGTTAAACATGTATGATTGTTCTTATATGAAAATCTTGGATTATAAATATTTTATAGAGCAAAACAAAAGCTACATTATAGAAAATAGGTTCATAGATAATTTGTAAATGAAGGGGAATTCAGGGATGGAAGGAGAGGGACAGAGAAAAGAGGAAATAAAAAGGATTAAGTTGTGACATGAGTAAGTATCAAATCCCCAGGACAAGTGTGTTCATGACACATTAGAGATATATAAACACTGGATCTTAAGAACATGTACATGCAAAGTACATTGTATGAACATTCCCAGATAGGAAATGCATTTTTTTTTTGCAGAAAAGAGATACTAAAAATACCTTCATGAACATGCTCTCTATGCCTTCTATTTTGCTCCATTTTTCTATTTTTCTTGTTGCTCTAATATCAAAAATATCTTCGTTCAATTTTTATAATATTATTTAACAGCTTCCACTATAAATTTCCATCATTGTACTACTGTTGGCTAAATTTCTTTTCTATTCCGTCTTTTAGGAGGCAAACATACTTCCCAAACAACTTCTAAATTTCTGAAAACATCTAATAGGATTTTGAATGGGTTTTTCTTATTAAAAACAGATAAGATTTAAAATAAATGATAAAGTGTAGCTTTAAAATACAAAGTCTTTGTAAATAGTGAAGGGTAGAGGTGGTGAAGGGAGGCCAGGGGAATGGGGAAAAATAAGATAAAAATACATCATATAAAGGTAGCAGATTTCAATGATGAATGCAAATATACTGTATACATAAAAAGTGTCAAAAAACATAATGAAAAAATATTAGATTATCCATTTACTTAGATTTGCTTGATATTTTCCTTGCATATTTAGGGAAAAGATCATATACATTCTTCCTAGGATTTCAGTGAATTTCAGGTTGAGTTATATATGGCATTACAAGTGGTTCATTAAGTGTCACTTGGTTATAAAATGTTATTTTTTTCATTTTGTATAAAATTATTTTCATGTGTTTTAATTGTGTATCCACTTCTTACTTTGGGTTTTGTTTATATATAATTATATCATTTATAATTAAGGATATTTTCCCTATTCTCATGTTTTTATCTTTTTAAAAGTAGCTCAGAACTTTCTTAAAATGTTACACAGATTAAATATGTATAGATTAATAAGCAAAGAAATATGTGTGTGTGCATATATATATATATATATATATATATATACAGCGAAATACAATTCATTCTGAAAAAAGAAGAAAATGGGTTATTTTTGACAATGTGAATGGAACTACAGGATGTTGTGGTTAGTGAAATAAGGCAAGCACTTAAGTACAAATTCTACATATTCTCATTGTCATGTGAAATGTAAGACAAAGTGAAAAATAAAAAAGAGTAGAATTTTACAAAAAGAGGCCATGGTGACACAGGGGAAATGAAGATACAATCATCAGAATAAGTCACACATGTAAATAATGAATAGTTTCTCTGGTGTGAAAAACTATAATAGTACATAAGATCCTAATGGTATAATTGACAATGTGAAATAGGAAGAAAAGGGCTAAAGATGTAGGGGAAGTGGGAAGGGTAGGGGAAAAGAAAGAAGGGAAAAGAAAAAAAATTAAGAGAAAATGAAAAGAAATGGAAATAAAGTATTTGCAAATAGGGAAGGGAGGAGGAGTTTAAGGGAGGGCAGGGGTAAGGGTAAAAAATGAGAACCAAGACCTGTCATGTAAAGGTACAAGATCCCAATGATGAATATATCTGTACTGTATACCTAAAATGTATCAATAAACTCAATGAGAAAACGTAAGAAAACGATGGCACAGCATAGTAGTAAATAGATATGTTTAGTGTAGTTCTAAATTACAAAGACAGCAAATTTCCTATATTTTCACTGTAAATAAATAAGCATTTGAGAAAATGTGTGTTATTTAGCTTACCATAATTATTCCATATTACATTCATAAACCATAACAGTTTTGATGCAACTATAATCTGTTAACTTATAATTATTTTTAAATTAAAATAAAAGAATGTATCAGGAATCTTTATTCATTTGTTATATAGAAGAGAACACTTTCTACATTCTTTATTCCACATTTTACCTTGAAGGTGAGTGTTTATACTTTTAAGTAGATAGTATTCATCACATTAATAGAGTTCCATTCTACTTATGCCATTATGAATTATTACAAAAGTAATTATTCCAACTCATCACAAACATTTCAATATATTCATTTGCCAAGCCATATATGAGAAACATCGCGTCATTGTCTGAACATTTGCCACCTCCAAAATTCATGTGTTGAAATTCTTAGACCCAAAAATGATATCACGGAGAGGCAATGCCTTTGTGAAGTGATTAGATAGTGAAGTCAGAGGCCCCATGAAGGGTATAATGGCATTGTACGAGAGACTCCAGTGTGATCCCTCAACCTCTCCTCCACATAGGACCACAGAAAAATCACTATCATCCAGGAACCAGGAAGCCAGCCCTCAACAGATACTAAGTTTACATTTGCCATGAAATAAGACTTCTCAGCCTCCAAATCCATAAAAAAATAACTGTCTGGAGTTTATAAGGCACTACAGTATTTTATTATAGCATCCCAAACAGACTAATTTACACAGAATAGCTGCTATATCACTAATTAAGATGTTAAGAATGTTTTGTCCAGGAAGAAATGTATCAAAGCAGCTATTTGGACAGGCTGAGGAAGTACAGAAAACTATTAGGATGTATATATTCCTGTAAAATTCAAAATTCATCTAAAGTCACTGTCAAGTAATCCACCCTCAAGTTTAATTTTTGCTTATCCCATACTACTTAGCTTAGAATGTGGTAGAAGTTCACAATGGAAACTATTGGAATAATAACACAAAATTAAGAAGGAAGTTCAGACCTTTTGAAACAGGGAATGATAATTATCTAAAATGATTTAGATTAGTGAATTAGTGAGGTCAAATATAGTTATTGTCAGTCAGAACATAGAAGAACA